ATCTTCTGTACCTAACTTTGCGTCTAACGGCGTAAATATTGCTGGAAAAAAAAAAGTTTTTTCGTTGTAAAAGTTTTTAAATACACGTTTGTTTGTCTAGACCGTTTCGAAAAAACTATTTTTTCATAGGAGTATTTTTTTAAGTGTAAGCCTGAGTGTACCAAAGGAATTCAGATTATCCAGGGGCTTTATTGGTTCTTCAGTATTTTAATAGCACCTCAAGAATTTTTAAATTATCAATTAATATGTTTTCATGTAATAATTGTTTTCCGCTGAGAACCATATATATATATATATATATATACGGCATGATGATTGCATCTGTTTACTCATGAGTAAATACAAGACCTATTTAAAGTCTTTTACGTTCATATTTGTGTCTCTTTGTCTTCACAATCGCTCCTAGATTTACATTCTGTGGCGTGCATCTCTTAGCAAATCTTTAAGTTTCAATTTTTCGTGTTTTTTGTGTGTTTTGCCTAATTATGGCTTGTTTTGTATCTTTTATTTCACTTTGGTGTTGCTTATTTTAAAATATAAGCATAAAGATTTTCAACTGTACACTTACTCGTTTATGCAATATTTCCACGTATATTGGCTTAGTGAGGCTGGTAGTTGTTGAAGTAAATAAATGCATACCATGGTATCATTCCGAGTATCATTCAGTGGTCAAATGAAAACATTAGAAAAATATTGACCGAAAAGTCAGATCTAGATTAAGCGAATAAATTTGGACACCTACTTGCTAGGAAGGCGAGCGGGAGTCAGTAAACATGCAGCATAATTGAGTGAAGTGAACTACAACAATAAAACGATATTGTACCGTGCTGTTCGTTTGTTGAACATTTATTGCAATAACTGCGAACACAATAAGATGGCTGCGGCTGTGTCTCCTTGAGAAGGACGTTCCCGTAAATGAACTCAAGCCGCTGCAAAGCAGTAGAGCTCCACGTTTTATTTATATCCTGAACGGTGGGTGCCACAGAAGTTTTCTAGTGCTTGCTGCGCGTTCATGTCTGCCCGAAGAGCCTTGTAACTCCGCGCCGTCCGATACTCCTGCAGGGGCTGTGTCAGGCTGCTTGGTTGAAGAGACAGCCAGAGCCACGTCGTGGAACAAAATCAAGAACCAATCAGTACAAATCTTGCACTCCAAAACAAACCTAGTTGTGTACTGTCTCCACCCTAAATACCAATTACTGGTGTCTTTCTGGCTAGTTTCATCGACCTCTGGTATCTCTTTGATTATTTCCGCATGCTGAAATTTCAAGCGCAGTGCTACCACTGAGCGGGGCATTTCAGCATGTTCAATGCCACAGCGCAGATCGTTTTCTAGGTCTAAACATAATTTCAACCTCGTCATTCGATCAATTCTCACGCCGAACGTCGATATACTTACCAGTGAGGGTCAACCGATGGCAGCAATTGACTCCCCACTGCGGAAAACTGTACACACTTTTTTTCTAGAGTACTTAATTATAAGAACTGTCAACGCAGTTGCTCTATGCGGAAGCTAGGAAAGATCGACAAACCATCATTTTTTTTAATAAAGAATTATACACACTAGCCATATAGCACACGAAATAAGAGAATATGCTTCATATGTTGTTCCCAGAATGTGTGCCCACGTGTTATATATCCTCCGTAGTCACATTAGAAAAGATTGATGCTTGAGATATTAAGATTTGCAAAAATTGCGAAACCAGATATCACATTGTGGCATAAAGCCTACCGCAGGTTCGTGTACATTATACTAATATTTGTAATATTGTCCATGAACTCAAACCTGAGCTACTTGACTTCCGTCCTCTGTCCGGCGGAACTCATGAAAGCGCCTGTAAAAGTTAGAAAAATATAGGACGTTAGTTCACGGTTGAGGGAAAAAAACAGCGGCAATTGGTGCATTAATTTTATATTAAAATCTGAAGCGGGGGGGGGGGGGGGGGGGGTAGGAACGATATTTACGTACATTGTTCCAAACCACAGCTGTCTGTCTACTTTTTTTATTTAGTTCTAGTCCGGTTGTATTATTGGAGACCTTAGTTTTGTAGCATTTCTAAGTCCAAATGCAGCTTTTTAGCTCAAAGTAATTAACCTTATTCTCCATTACGCTAGGATTCACTGATTTCTACTCGTGATGAAACGCATTAACTTGCTCCTTCTAGGCGACTGATGCCGCTAAAAAGGCCGCCAGGTCCGAGACTCAATCTTAGAACCTTCCCGAGTCGACCGTCAAGATCATTTGACATAAATAAAACAATTACTCACCAGCAACGAGGAGGGCGACCAACGCAGCAGCAACGACCCTCATTATTTCAGGATCGATGATGCTGTGCGCTACTCGAATTATTTTCTGCATCACTGACATAAGTAATGATAATTGTTAAAATTGCTTCATTTATAACAAGGAAATCACACTTAGAAATGAGTTTCATGAACTACTTGGTGCATAATTTAAAAAAAATGCGAAATATTATATTTTCTCTATTTTGAACTTATTCCGTTTATCAACACAAATTACGCTTTCAAGGCAGCAGTATTATTGAAAGTTTATTTATGTTTACTTTTAATAAAGCGAGCAAATAATCTTTATTTTTATTGGACGTTGTTTGATTTGTTCTAAAAAAAACACAACAAGAATGGAGATTGAAAAAGGATATGAGAAATCAGTGAAAAATCGCGCAACTATCAGTTAGCACTCCCACACCACTCACCTTTGATGTGCTGCGAGCAAATGATGCCGTCGTGTCTAACCGACGATCGAGGTTCTTATATAACCACTGTCGAAAGAAAGCAACAAGGAAGAGACATCTGGATACCGTTAGGGTTTTCCCCTCTCGAATTAGTTGTGCAATACCGTTGCAAACCCCGAACTAGCAACCTCTGTCGCTACTTCGCCCTTCATTTTTGTTTTGTGAATATTTTACGAGGAGAGTATCGCATGCCTGCTCTGGAAAAAGTGCCCTGAATCTTTCTGGGCGCATGCGGAAAGTCCTGGGAAGTCGTATTGCCAAGTCTTGACTTAACATTTTGATCCACGTTTCAAAAATTGTGTTTTGAGGGCTCAGTTACGTTAGCCTACAATCTACAAAGTGGTTTTTCACGTGCATTCCCGCAAAACGTGCGTTGTTGGTTCATCAAAGCGATTTCATAAAATTCGTCAAGCGAGTGAAAAGGCCCTAAATATGAGGTTCGCATTGAAAATAGGAAACGTTTGGGTATAGTTATAACATGGGCGAGCCTGATGTTCATTTTGCGAAGGTTGCAGTGGCTAGGCCTCTTTTTTATGTACGGAAGATTTTTTTTAACGACCACAGTTCAAGTTTTTAAGTAAACATTTTTCGTATACACTGGCATGATAATGTTTATTAACGACCTCCAGCTTTATGAAGGCGGAGACGCCATTCTATATATACCAGCGCCATTTCCCGGCACTTTTTTTTGTACACTTCAAACGGTAAACACAAAAACAAAAAAAGATTGTCGAAGCACGGTGCTAAACGCCAAAATCAGTGAGGGAAGGACCTTGAGCCAAAAATGGCATGGCGTAAATGCCGAGGGTTCGTCGCCAGTGGCCATTGCAGAGCTGTAGGTTGTAAGAGCACCTTGTCAACCTCGCCGTGGCGCCGGCGGCCACGACAGACCAAGAGAGGCGCGCGTGTTCACGTGTAAGACGCGCCCTTAACCAAAACAAAACACACACACACACATACAGAAATAGCGATGCGTCATCGAAATTCAAGAGAAGCAAGAGCGGCACGAATGAGAATGGTGGTACTTGGGTAGCTGGGAGGTATCCAGTGCTTTAAAACTTGTTGTAAGCGAATGTCATCTCCCGAAATATATGTATATATATATATATATTTGCTTTTAGAAGTGATCGCTAAATTTGCTACAATGAGATGTGATCCGTGTCATGAAACTCTAATCTTGTATGCCTATCTACGCCTTCTTCAACTTACATGGGGCAGTGGTTTAGCGTAATGTCATGTATACATGAAAGGGGCGAGTGTTACTTGTAACTGAGCCCGGGAGCTCATGAGGAACCGTCAAACTGCGCATAAAGATACCACACCACTAACCATAAAACGAATGGGACGCAGCACTAAGCTGCGTCCCATTCCTTCATTTGTTTGAACTTAAAATCCTTTAGATCTTACTTTATCACTGACATTTATTTTGAAACCTTTGAAATTAAGTGAATATAAAGATGCAAATGTCTTAATATATTCTTTGAAAAAAAAAAAAAAGAACCGTTTAGCTGAACTGCACATAAACATATAAACAATAGTGTGGACATTTAAAGTGTTCAAAATGTTACGAACGTTGAATATGTACACTCCGTCTTTTTATTGTGATTAATACGCGCCTATATCTAATCCTTGTTTTCCGCTGAGAACTGTATCTGGTGCGATGCTCTCATTCTGTTATATTTAAACGGCCTACTTAAACTTTTTTTTAATGATCGTACTTTTGTTTGTTGTCTTCATTCTTGTTTTTTTATTTATTGTTGTCTGTTTTGTTTACGATTGATATGTCTTGCTTCGGACAGACGAGCGGCGTATTAATTCTGCCCAAACCCCTTGTACATAAATTCCCAGTTGGTCGATCTGTTCTCGATCCTAACCGTTCATTGCGCCAGAAACGCCCGTGTTGGGTTTTCTTTTCACCCCTACGGGGGCCGGTGTATTTTATGGAGGGCTCATTTATGACGCCGCATCTACATGGAAAAAAGGAAAGCATAATTACCAGTGAAAATGTAATAGCTTTGCGTTCAATCACCTACAACACTGAAGACAGATTGTGAAACTACGTAAGTAGTTTATTGAACGGCCATCGCAAGGGCTGTAAACACGCGGTTACAGAAGTAGATATGTTTCCGAGAGAACAACATCCCCGCAAATAAGCTCGCAGGCTACCGAAAAGCGCCATAGCTCCGTGTCTAACCTATCAATGTCGAATGCCTCCTCACATTTGGGGTGGGAGAGTAGCGTCGTTTTTTTCTAGCGCCTGTAGCACGTACAGGTCTGCTTGAGAAATCCCGCGCAGTAACCTCCGCGTCTTCCGATGCTTCGGCAGTGCCTGTGACACGCTCCTTGGTTAAAGGGGCAGCCAAAACCACGTCCTGAAAAAACACGTTTATATCGAATTAGCGCAAATATTACATTTTAGAAAGCCCGTGCACGTATACGGTACAAGAAACTTAAAACACAAATCATTCACATCAGTTTAATCAATTTTGCCAATATAAAAAAAATACGATTGGTGTCGCGCCGCAATTGCCATAAAGCAAAGTGCAGAATATATCCTAAAATTATTTCAATTGTGATGGAGATTATACCAGATTTTTAGGATTAATAAATCAAACATTTCCCGCTAAAATCATACATTTCCCACTATATAGTGCACCAGAGAGAAGACCACTGTGGCTGTTTTTGGTCACTGGAAATAAATACTTATTTTTATTATTTTAAGATATTCCCTCATTTTTTTAATTAATTGTTTATTTATTATTTGATGTTTTTTATGTGCATTTGTGTTGCATTTACATTATATGATAATCAAGCAAAAATGATGTCTATCAGGATGAACACAAGCAAAACAAAGTGCTCTTCTGAGCAAAAAAAAAAAAGCATCGAGCTTGATCTCCACCTTCCACTTCGTTCGTGAGCTACGTAACGTCCAAATGACACAAATATTCGGAGAAATAAGTAAGAAACAAAAACTAGAAAAGTAATGTCATATTGCAATCAAGTCAAAACTCGAACCAAATCAAATACCGTATTTTTTTATTTTTTTCTTAAGTAACTAAACAAATCTACCTGTTTTCGTTATAGTGTGACGGGGATTGCTGTAATGCGAAGTTGTTAATAAAACTGTACTTTACACTTACAGTAATTCCTTTTTCCGCATTGCTATCTGTCATCCAAAGAATGACCGATCAATGTGCCATGTTAAAGATAAATCTAGTGGCGCAGAATCACTAATTTTAACTACAATCCCGTACGAAAATGTCAGATGGGAGCGGTCCCAGTTGGGGTCCGCGGAGTTCTGAACTTCTGGACAGTTCCGATCAGCGCGATTCTGGGCGTAACCAGTCGAATCCAGTGAGACGCAACGCACTGGAATCGCACGGTGATCGGTGAATCTGATCCGCTCCCCTTGTTCCAGTAGGGTCTGCTCCCAGCCAGCGGCTCCCAGCTCGCAGCCAGCGGGCGCGCAAACTGTGGGCGCGCATATGCGTGACTGGAGGAGGGGAGGGAGGGGGGGATGGCGGCATAGGATGGCGGAGAACTTTCGCCACTTTCGCGGTCTCTCGCGTGTCACGTGTTAGGGACAGGCGCCTCCGCTGCATCCCCTACGCGGGCGCTGCGAGCGGGCGTTCTCCGCGCGCGCGCCCGGCTTTGTCTCCCAGTCAGCTTAGTTTTGTTCTTCGCGCTCGTTGCACGGTCGCTCGGCGCTCGACCGGCGTCGACGTTCGTGCGGGCGCACGGATACTGACGCGCCCATCGTTGCCCTGGATGGATACCTACTGACCTCGGCTTTGCATCTTTATTCAGTGTAAAGCTGCCGACCCATTGCACTTTGGCTCGGCATCTGGATGCGCTTGGCGCTGGTGTGCTTGGTGACAATACTTGGACAACTCGGATACCGCTTGCCCGCCGGAACTTCCCGATGCACTCCATCACTGGATACTGTGCTTGTGCGTGCTGTGTGTGTGTGTTCCGTGCACCGTGTTTGGCGACGACGGCGACGACGCGCGCCTTGCATTCATTGTCTGTTGCAGTCAGCGGCAGCGCTTCGACAGTTTCGGTTCTCCGCTCCCGTCGGACTGCCGGCCGGCGGCGACGTTCGCGCTGGGGGCGCACGGATACTGACGCGCCCATCGTTGCCCTGGATGGATACCCACTGACCAGAGCCACTGACCTCGGCTTTGAATCTTTATATAGTATGAAGCTGCCGACCCATTGCAGTTTGGCTCGGCATCTGGTTGCGCTGGTGTGCTTGGTGACAATACTTGGGCAACTCGGATACCGCTTGCCCGCCGGAACTTCCCGACGCACTCAACACTGGATACTGTGCTTGTGCGTGCTGTGTGTGTGTGTTCCGTGCACTGTTTAATGACGACGCGACGACGCCTGGACGACCGTGTGCGCCGCCATAATTACCGCTGCGCTCACCACTGGACTCTACAAAAGTCTTCCGTGCGATGCCCTTAACCGTTACAAGCGAGAGATCGTCGCGATTTCAGACCCAGTCCGCCTGAGTCTGAAATCACGACGTTCTCTCGGTTGTAACGGCTAAGGGCATAACGCGAAATTCTTTTGTAGATTCCAGTGGTGAGCGCAGCGGGAATTCCGGCGGTGCAACGGTCCTGGGTTTAAAATTGGGACTGGAACTGCGCGGTTCCAGGCTGGATACAAGCTGGTGCCCCAATTTTGGGTCTAGGCGGTACCGGCATTTTTCATTCCGGCCTGAATCTGACATTTTCGTACGGGATGTTTTAAATCAAATAAATATCGTATAAATAAAATAAACCTGATTTTTAAAAAAATATATATATATATAATTTTCTTGGCTACGCTTTTCTTTTTCTTTTTGTTTTTGCTACCCTGGATTAAAGATTTAATGACAAAATCTTTTATCTTTTTTGCATGTTCGCCTATTGCTGCACGATGCTCCCTCGCGATTCTGAGAGGCTACCGACCTGAAGCAACAGCACCAAGAGTAATCAAAGCCTGAATACGAGAATTTCGACGTCATCACGGTGAGATCGAGCGAAGACTGAGATTGGACACGAGTGCTCCGTCAGTGCTCGGCTGGGACTCGTGACCAATCAACGCGCTGAAGTACGCTCTTCATAATGCTCGGGTCCAATTGCCGAATTTGCGCCATCCGGCTGTGATGACGTTCCATGGAGTCGCATGAGCTCTTTTTAGTTCACTTACGAAGATGCGACCAATCCAGAAGTGCCGCTCAGGTAACAGTTTATAAATACTTGAGATATATGTAATTATATGTTGTGCATCGGTATTAAAAAAAGAAGTACACGTGTGCCACTACAAAACTAGATTCACAATTCAGCGTATTCACAGAATGTCTACCATATAGACGCCGCCTGTTTTCTTTGTTTGATCTTGTTATGGTGCGCTATACTTGTGATCTAATAACTGACTCAGTTCAAAGATATTCGCCGATGAAGAAAGGCCGAAAACTTTTTTTTTTTTCCTTTGAAGTGTTTCCGTCACTGTTGTTGGCTCCGTGAGTAGCTCTGAACGTTTGGTATTCGGACTTTCATGGGCTCGTGCGCGCACGCTTTGAAGATGAGCCTTTAAGTTTCTTAATGTGGCTGTGGCAAATTGGATGGCTACCATTTGATTTTGGTATGAAAAGAAACATAAATCATTCCGACAATCGATTTCTGCGTGCGGCCAGCTTTGTCTACTGGGATGTGAAAGGCGTTTCGAGCAATCACAGTAGCTCTCTACGTGGTAGCTTTCCACGCATGCTAAAAGCGGCATAGCACACGGTCGGAACATTCGCAAAATATTGAGACCAGCGCATGCGCAAAGCCCATCGATTCGGTATTTTTGTTTCGGTAATAAGCGCCCAGAAGAGATCTTTGAGGTTACAATGAAGCATAGCACACTACATAGGAAGGATGTTGCTACCGGCTAGATTGTCTAATTTATGGCGCGTGTTGTTTCACTCTTAGTTGAAAATTCTGGAGCTTAGTTGGATTAAAATGCTTGTAACAACTTCACAAAATAAACTAACATCCCCTTCTGGCCTAAAAATTACTGTACTTTTTTTTTTTTTAATGATACGAAATAATTGGGGTAGTGTAACTCACGAACTCGAACGTGAGCCACTTGGTTTTCTTCCTCCTGTCCGCTGGAAGTCTTTAACGCTCCTGAAGAAGTTGAGAACATGCGGGACATTAGTTCATAAGTTCATAACTCAGAGCTCAAAAAGCAGCTTCCGAGTTCACAGTTTGAGAATATAATGAAAAATTGCCAAAAATTTACTCACCAACAACAAGAAGGACGATCAAGGTAACAGCAACGACCCTCATGATTTCAAGGCTGATAAAACGGTGTTATACTTGACCTGGTGTTCTGCATCATCAACAAAAATATTGAGGACTGTTAAAATTACTTTAATTATAACACAAAAATAACTCTTAAAAATGTGCTTAATTAAACTGCTTGCTGTACAATAAAGAAAACAATATATATATATATAATTTTAAACTTGGTTTGTGTAATAATTAGGAGCAATAAGCTTACAATGCAGTAGTGTAAACTAAAGCTATTTCATCGGTTCTTTTTTTTTTCAACGATCAAGTAAGCTTTTTTTTCCCCCTTCGATGAATTAGGGCTGCTTACAAAAGTTTTTAGTTACAGTTCATGTTAACCCACAACACTACTCTTACATGTTTTTAGGTTTGTTTCACAAACAACAGGAATGGGTATCAATAAAAAAATATAGAAAGCAGTGAGAAGCGGTGCCACCATCCGTTAACAACCCCACTCACCTTCGTTGAGCTGTACGCAAAGGTGACCGTGGTGTCTAACCGGAGTCCAAAGCTCTTATATGCTTGCAGTCCAAACAAACCAACGAGGAAGAAGTCCTGTTTACAGCTAGGGTTTTTCCCTTCACAATGCCCGGACTTGCCGGTCATTGCAGTGCCCGAAGCAGTCATCTCCGTCTTTACCTCCGCCCGTAAGTTTTGTTTTACACATGTTTTACGGCGAGCGCAACGGAAATCCGGTGTTGGAGGCGTGTCATGAAATTTTCTGGGCGTACGCGGAAGATGTACCTGGTGTCATCTATTTCAGAGCTTTTATTCGATGTTTTGATCCGTGTTTAAGGATCCTGTTTTGGGTGTTTTCTTAAATGGATCATAAACAATCTAAAATGTTGCCTTACCTGTACTTTTTTTTTTTCTAAAGGATGTCCGGGCCCACCCCTGCGATTCTATAAAATATGACCAGCAAGCGATGAGCCCCCTGAAAAAGGGTTTAGTTTGAAATGAGAGAAAAAAAATAAACCTGTGACGATGAAATGAGAATGACCCTGACGTCAGTTTTAGGGCAATCGTAATGTCTGGGCATTTTTACCGGAATCATGTGGTCGCTTTCTTTTAAGACTAGAGTTGTATACTTCTCGTGAAACATTTTTGTTTTGTATAGATGCACAAGATCGCAATAGAAAGGAGCCTCCAGCTTTGCCAGGTTTAAAGGCGAGTTTTACGAGTTTTTTTTTTCCTAAATTGTTTGTTAATCGTATCAGTTCAATTTACCACATGACCTACATACACCACTTGTATAACAACCCCCAGTTGCAGGGGATATTAACTGTCTTAACTCAATATTTATATCATTTAAGTTGTTTTTGACTAATTTGTATTCTCACTGTGAATCATTACCTGGGCATCCGATTTTTAAGGGCACACACAGACAATAAAAATGTAAATGATTGCATGAATTAATAAATGAATCACCTCACGTTTGTAAGAGACCGAAAGCCAGTAGTTTGACTTCGACATTTCTTCATCTCACATTTTCAACTTATTGTTTCACATCAAAAATCTAAACCGAATTTTCTAGATCCCAACCATTTTACGTTCCAAAACCGTCACTTCTTTTGGAAGCTCACAAACTCGTGGGGCTGCAGTTGGGAAATGTTTTGTCTTGCATATTATATTGCCGCGTGCATGATCGAGAAGATACGGTTTTCCAGTTCATCTAGAAGATTCGCGTACACACTTACCTCGAGCATAAACGATAAGGAGGCCAGAATGACCTTTTCTAGTCATTGTCAACCTAGCTCTTTCTCGAACATTCTAAGTAGTCGAATATTTGAGATAACAAGCATAGTAGATAAAGAGCCGAGCGCACAATTGCCGATTCATTTACTGCTTCTCTCTCGCAAAAGCCAGCTGCTACGCCGACGCACCGTATCTGGTTGCTACTGCCGTAGCCGCTCGTTCGTTGCTGCTTTCTCGACGTGTGTTCTGCTTTTTAGTTTCTGGCACAAGTTCGCCCCCCCCCCCCCTTGGCCTTATATCTTTAGTTTATTCCGTTTTCTTCTGCGTCGTCGTCTATCATTCGTGACGATAGCAACGGTGAAGCGGACTAAACGCACAATATTAGTTTCTGTTAACGATTTCGGCTTTGCCAGGTAGCAAGCAACTTATAAGTTGTAACGTAGTACTTTCGTTTTTTCGCTTGAGAAATAAAGAGATTTCTTATCTGTTGGGGTGTTATTTTCCAGCAATTGGTGTGCGTGTGAGTATCAGTTTTAAAACATAATTTTAGGCTTTCAATAACAAAGTTAATTTAGAGCGGCCTTTTGGACAAATAAAAGTATATTTTTTATAGGCACATTATTCGCACCGATTGCCACTAGCATAGATGTTGACTAAATGAAGAAAAGGTAAAACAAATATCCAGTGGTAATTTTTATTAAAAACTTATTTTTTTCAGTTCTAACAATGCAATATGTATACGTAGCGTTCTTTGCTTTCATGTGAAAGGAACGGGTTCCAGGTACTTTTCCTTAAACTCCGTTTCGTACAACACTGCAAGAGCTTTATAGGGCCATCTTAACAACGACCTTGTTTACTTCCATTTAGACCGATTTCAATTACCACGTTTTGCTTTCGGTACGCTTCGAGAACGCGCTGTAGAAAACTTTCCGCCATTTGCCCCGTTTGTTTCCACATAAGCGATTCCTCATTAAAGCCGTTTTTCAGGCGCTGACACGACGCAGGAGCTTTGCGAGTCAGTGGCCCCGTCGAAGACAGAACCAAAAACGTACTTTCTGAGATGTTAGGGTTTCGCATAAACCCATGTATACCCGATTTTTCGTCCTTTGGAGTCCCCCCTGCGGCATCTGCTGGGGCCATTTGTGCCGCTGACGAGCCGACTTCTTAACCGCCGGCAACTATTACCTTCAAATAGAGACCAACAAGTAAAACATCGAGTACCAACCAATGCTCCCTATTTATGTCGCCAACCACTCCAGCTGGCGCAGTCGATCACAAAGCTAAAAAAGCTCCGGCGAGGCGGAAAATTTTGCCTCCTCGAAAATAAAATGATAGGACGAAAGCCTTCCGACATTGATCTCACAAGATTTCGATGAGGAAGAATAGCGCGAGACTTTTCGTGGAAACAAGTAATCGCCAGATTTTTTGATTTTTTTAATTTAGAAGTTGACTTTATTATTTTTTATTAGTGTAGCCTGAAAAGTGTTCTTTTGTGGCATTAATCAATGAGATAAACTTTGGCCTCCGCCCTTTGAAATGAGGAAAAAGTACCCATGTCGCATTGGCGCTAACAGTGTCCCGAGGTGTACGTAATGCGAAACCGCCGAATATTACGTGCTAACTACCGACAGAATATTATTTTAGTTTCCTCCCCACTGGAGAGGGACGCAATTTGAGCCCTCTTCGGGTTTTTCTTTTAGTCCCGCTCCCAGCTTCTCTGTTATTTTCTCTGCCGATTGCATCGTCTCGGAAGTGACTTTGAGCGTTGTGAAGCGGGCAAAGTGTAGACGGCCTTAGGCGAACGCAATACGACTGCGTTTGTATTCATTTATATTGTTGCTCGATAAAAAGGCAGCAGTTTACACTTTGTAACCAAAACTAGGCATTGCACGTCTGAGATTGTAGGCTTTTCTGTGGCGATCATGCTGCCTAAGCGAACGCACACCGAAGTCACCTCCCAGCAGAACTACGGGGGCATTATATATGATGCTTTGTATTAATACAGCTATAGTCTCTACCGGTCTAAGACACGCAAGGCGTGCCCTGAGCACCATATCGTCACTCCTGAGCTCATATATTCTCGAAGGCCGAACCTCGAAACCAGAAGCGAGCAAGCCACGATCTGCGTTCCTTCAACTGTCTCACTAAAGAAGTGGCCGTTTGGCAAAGCGAGCAACTTTGCCTTCCTATAGCCCGCGACACAAGCGTCACTGACGTCTCAAGAAAGGCGGGCCGTCGCGTATATTGTGTGTTCCCGATCCTCGCTTCTTCATTGGTTCTTCGGTCCTCTTATCGGCCACTACCGCATTCGCGCATTGGAGCCGGTGCGATCATAAGAGAGATTTAGGGAACCGTTTTTGCCCATCCGATAAAGTATACGATGGGCCTTTCGGTATACCGACTCCGCATGTGCTTCCGCAGAAGACTCGCATATTCCTTGCTCGTACCGGAGGCCCCATCGTATACCGTATCTTCGTCGTGCAATAAAGACATTATTATTATCATTATTATCGGATGTGCAAAAACGGTTCCCTAGAGCTCTTTTATGAGGTCAGGACTCGTCGCGCCACGTGTTTCTTAACAATAAATATACTTTTGTACAGGAATGAATGAGTGGAGGGATGGATACGGCTGAACCATTCTAATCGGGCGGCGGCTTACGCCATCATACCTAGGCTTGTAAGTTTTCACGCTTAACTCATTTCCAGTAAAATGACGATACAAAGATAGGCCGGCTAGAAGTTTCCGCTTCAAAGTGAAAACAACAGGTAGCTTATGTTGTGATGTTCTCCGAATGTCAAGGAGCACGGTTGTCCCCGGATTCACTCTGCTTCTTTCGGCTAGTCAGGGTCGTATTCGTTCGAATGTTGAGATTCGTTATTCCTTTGGCCGTTTTCCTCTATTGTAGCTCGCTTGGAAAGACTCTTTCGTACCCTTTCAATAAAACTCGTTTTTTTTTCCCCTCTTCCTCTCTGCTCGCCTAGAATACGAAAGTCAAGGACAAAGATCAGGACGTTTTGCTGCCTACTCGCGCAAAAGTACATTGCGTGTTTTTGTTGTTGGTTTTGTTTTGTTGTTTTGATGAATCGCAAATCATTCTTGAGTATTTCCTCCTTTTTTTTATTTACAAGCTACATTTCTCGGTAATTATTACGGTTTCTTGGAACTCCTTGTGAACTAGGTGCACACACAAGCCCTGGTCTTCGTTTCAAGCCTTTGACTTGAGTGAATAGTTAATCTTAAGGAATTTTGCCACAGCTCTATTTCTCGAGGCTTACTTTAGAAGTATTTTGCTTTTGTGAATATTTGTTCTTTCGGAAAATAGTGCACAC